GCCTGGCCTGCCCCTTAGGGGCCAGGGGGAGCCTTGTGGCCCCCGGCTGCGGGCTCTGGGCGTGGGGACAGGGGGTCTGGGCTGGCAGCCACGGGTGGCCACTGCCCAGCGAAAGGTCTGTGCGCCCCAGCACTGCTGGCCAGGCATGCCCCTGGCTGCGGGTGCGAGGGTTAGCGGGGCCTCCCCACCTACCACCCTGTGGCCGAGGGAGGAGGAAGGAACCCCGCTTTTTATTGATGTCAGAGAGGAAGGGAGAGGGAGAGAGAGAGAAACATCCATGGTGAGAGAGACGCATTGATCGGCTGCTCCTGCACGCCCCCCACTGCAAACCATGACCTCCTGGCTCACAGGTCAGCGCTCAACCACTGAGCCCATGCGACCAGAATCCCTTTTTATTTGGAAAAACTTCAACCCGACAGGAAATTCGCAAGGAGATGAAAATGAGCAGCCCCTGCCTTTCACCCGGAACGGTCCAAACCTGCAAAATAAGCAAACTGTTCCTTTTGGTGCCCCCCGCCCCAACACACACACACACACACACACACACACACACTTTATTGAACGACCTCACAGCTACTTGTAGGCATCACGGAGCTGCCCCAGTGTGTCTCCCAAGCACAAGGCCATGTCCCTGGACCAGAGAGAGCCACGGGCAGTGACGGGCAGTGATGGGCAGGGGCCAGGTGGGCAGGTGAGGGGGGGGCAGGTGCCAGGGGCCCTCCGGCCCCAGCTGAGGAAGAGGGGAAGGAGGCATCCGGCCGGGGCCGGGGTGCCTGGGGGAGCCCGGTGAGGAGGTGGCCATGGACCGATGGGCGTGGACGGGGCAGCCTGGGTCTGAGGCAGGGAGAGTAGGACACAGGACCCCACGCCCTCAGGGGAGATGCAGCCTAGACGGGGGGCAGGCGCTGCCAGAAGAAGGGCCAGGGCTCCGGGACACAGCCCAGCCCCCGGGGCAGTCGTGACAGAAAGCTGGGGCCTGGGACCCAGCCGCGGGCGCCCTGGCGCTGCCCCAGCAAGGCGGCTCCTCACCGTTCCTGTCCCTCCCACAGGCCTCAGGCCCAAGCCCAGAGCCAAGTGACTCCCCGAGGGCCGGCCTCCACGCAGCAGGGCCTGGGCGTACTGCTGAGCCGGGAGCCGGGAGCACCCAGGGCCGGGCTGGGACTGGGCCCTGGGACAACGGAGCTCGTGCCTTACCCAGCCAGGGGTCTCGGGCACGGGGGCTGCCTGGCACCCTGGACTGCCCGCCTGGCACCCCTGGACTGCCCCCCTGGAACCCTGGAATGCCCGCCTGGCACCTTGGGCTGCCCGCCTGGCACCTTGGACTGCCCGCCTGGTACTCTCGGCTGCCCACCTGGCACCCCTGGACTGTCTGCCTGACACCCTGGACTGCCCACCTGACACCCCGGACTGCCCGCACGGCTGGTCGTCCTGGTCCGGCTCTCACGCTGGTGCCACCCCTGCATGCACCTGGCACCCACCCGAGGAGGGGTCCTGGCATGTCCCCAGGCACCTCAGCTTGCATCTACTTTCCAGTGACCTGGCACCCGGATTCCTCTGGGGACGGCCCGTTACAGACCCCCCAAACCACGGGAGCCAGACAGGCTGGAGCCCCGATGCCCGTTCTTGCTCCCCAGCTCGGCCCCTACGCGCTCAGCTGGGCTGGAACAGGGATTTTAACAAATGGGACTGTGCGTCTTTCATTGTGTGGTGCCTCGGTGGGGCGGGGAGTGAAAGGGCTCTGGGGCCCAGGAGGAGCAGGCTGGTGGGCACTGCTTGGGGCAGGACAGGGCCCCTTGCTCAGCAGAGGGGTGGGGGGGCCCATGGAGTGTCCCCCCCCCAGTGTGTCTAGGCCTGAGGGTGGGAGGTGCCTGCCCACCCCGCAGCCCGGACCAGGCATCTAGTCCACAGAACCACCCACCTGCTGCTCTGCCGGGAGCCGGTCCATCCTTGCTGTTTCAAGGGACCTGGCATATATGGCATACTGTTCTTAATATGTTTGCTCACTTTCTTGGCACTATGTGTTTTAACCAAGGTCACCTCTCCGAGAAAGGTTGTTTCCCCAGGTACAGATTTTCCCCTGAAGTTAAGGAGGGAATAAAACCCCTTAACTAAGTGCCAGGCGGGTAATTAATCACTTTAACT